CCACCTCAGATCAATCTTCCCGGCGTCGACGGACGCGAAAGCATGGATCTGTGGAAGAGCAAGGACGGCGGCCAGGACGACGACTGGACTGCTCAAGCATTGATGCACATGAACCTTGCCAGTGATTTGGAGAAGAGGCATTGATGGCATTGAACATAAGGGGGCATTGTGGCCCTTTGGGCTTGGTTTGCGTTTTATTCTGTTAAGTCTTGGGTGGCAGTCTGCGGCGTCGGACATGGTTACGATACCGTAGTTGGGATTATGAAGTGTTTGGATAGAGGATTCCCCGTGCATGCCTCAAAAGATCATTTTTAATTCATCATGATCGCCCTTTGTTTCTAAGGTTTTTGTGACATGGAAAGCATTGAACGGGGCGTGTGTTCTTGTCGCTCTCAAGACCCCGAGAGCGATATGAAACTCCTCACACTGCGATTCAAATGAGATCCACACAATGTCTCGGGTTCTCATCAGTGACAAGATAAGGTAACCATGTCTTCAAAAAGGTTACAGGCCGGTCTTTCTCCGTCAGTGGCTCAAGATCTTGCCGTTTAGAGTTAATGACGTTTCTCCATCGCAAGATGTTATTGAGTATTCTTCCGCCATACAGTCATATTCAAACAGAACAGAGATGGACGCGGGCAAAGGGCGGTTGAAGTGCTGTGCGAAGGTGCCGCATCTAATTACCGAATTCGCAGATCAGAGCTGGAATGAGCTGTCCCAAAGCCTTGAGGTACGCCCAGAAACCAATCGATCCGAGAAAACTACTTTGCCCCAGCTTTCCAAATCCCTCGAAAGTATCATACCATTCTACCAATAGCTCCCGTTAGCAACGTCTTGATGTCCACGATGGGAAGATACTTTCTGCCACATCTGCAGGCACGAATATTTGAATTGGGCCCGGCTCTGTCTTATATAAGACAGACTTCGCACATTCCATGATCTCCAGAAAAACCAGCAATGTGGTTGTAAATCTGGGTTGCACGTCTCACACTCTGACTTGTCATAGCTGATGGAACTGCTCTTGTTCTGAGCAAGTCGCAAGCCTTATGGTGGTTTCTTCTCTCGGTTTATCTTTGTCTCTGTTGTTCTCCGTGGTATGGTTTGTTTATTCCATAACTTTATTCGGTACGCATGCTTTCATCAACGATCGAGGGTACAGCTTCATTGCAGGCTTTGGGCTGTGCGCGAGAGCTGGCTACTCTGTCGAGTTCCGTTAGCACTTGTCATGCGATTCATTCTTGCGGAAGTCCAGTCCACAAATGATCAATGTCCTTAAATACTCATGGGCTTCGTAATTGGCTGGGCGTGAGTTTGTTGGACATAGAAAGGTTTACAGCGTCATCACAAAAGCATTGACCTTGTCACCACATGTTGCAGCATAAAGGCTGTCGCGGATGGAGCACGACTTGATCGAGACATGAATGGCGTGTGAAGACCGTTGAGTATTTGAATATATGAACAGCGAGGACACATCGACATGGGCTTATCGTCGTGCGCGACGCTGGTACATTAGTGCTTGTTACATGTAGTTTCGCGGTGCCTTCTGCATCTCCCTTTCTTCAGGTATTTCTGATGGAAACAAGTTAAATGCAATGTCTGGACAGTCAATCCTTCCTTATATTCGTACTACCTTGGATAGCTAAAAGTTGCAGCTGACATTGTGCACTTATCACCGTTTAAGTAGTAGCTCATAAGCACTTAGCATCTTCCGCTCTTTTAACGTCCCAGCTCACAAGATGCTGCTCCAATGCTAAGAATGGCTATCATCATCACTGTCCTCGTCGGATTCGGACTCTGCTTCGGGCAGCCCAAGGGCTTGTTTTAGCTCTTTTGTCCATTGTCGTACCGGCTTTACCCCTTGCCTCAGATCTTTGTAGGAAGATTTGAGTGGCTCCGGGAGCTCTTCTACGTCAAGGAGTCCGTTGTCATCGATGTACTGTTCCACGTAGCCTATCATTGGCATCGCGAAAGCCCCTACACGCGTTGCCGAGTCGCGTGCATAAATGCGCAGGAATGCTTCCAAGAGAACGTGAGCTTTGGGGACCACCACTGGTTCTTTTGATGACTTGAAGACGCCTGAACCATGACCCGGTCTCCAAGAAGGGAGAGCACTATCATCGGAGGCGAGGACGAATTGAGGCGGGAGTTTGTCTGGGCACAATAGATTGCTGTCCAGAGGTGGCAAGAACCAAAGGGTCTCCGAATAAAGATAGATCCCAACCGTGATTTCTGATTGGTCAATGTGAAAGTGATGGGCGGGCGGAGGCGTGTGTCTTTCTTGTGAGCTTGTTGGGCATGTTTCTGGGTGTGGACACGGTCTGAGGGCATCTATCCTGCCGATAGCATCGACTCCGGCCGTCAAAAGCTCGTCTGGAACGACGAAATCAACCGACTGAAAGCTGTTAGGACCAAATTCAACATCGCATTGGTCAAAGCACTCACTGAGATGATCGATGGTATGCCGTGAACATTGAGTAGATGCTGGCCCCATAGAACGCAGGGAATTTGGGAAGATTTGAGTGCACATGCTATTGATGCTACAAACGATTCCGAGTCATCTGACATGGCCATTGTTTGTTGTTGTGAAAATACAAAGATAATACCGGTGTTGCTGGCAGACGTAGATTATGAGAACACACAAGCCTGAAGTGAGTTTATCACACGTGATGTTCTAGGTTCGTTGGGACGAGAGAGGTTTGGCTGCCTGGATTTGCGCTAAATTTAGCGATTCACTGGACATTGGGCTGAATGGGTTCGGCGCTTGGACAGCCTATCACAATGAACTTGCCATCTACAAACACCTCCAACCAACGATTGATCACCAGAGTCACACTGGGACGTGATGTCCGCTTTGTCAGAAATGTCGCACTTGGAGAGTTTTGCCCTTTTCCAAGCTCTGCCTCCCGCACTGCGAATGAAAATATGGAGCGACGCACTTTCGGAACGGACTGTTTGGGCCGCGGTTAGCAGAGACAGCGGAGGTTGCTCATCCCGGGCAATGGCCTACGTTGGGCAGGCGCCATATCTGGCCGGACTCGCATGCAGAGAGTCTCGGCAGCTGCTGGAGAAACTTTACACATCGCCCCTCCGAGGACCAGGATTAGCGACAAGTTTTGGCGCCTACTGGGTCAATCTGGAGAGCACAGTCGTCTACCTCGGTAGCTCATACAATGCAACCGAGCTCATAGAGGCTTTTAGCGTGGATGGCTTAGCCAGATTCAGACATGTAGCTCTTCAATGGTACCAATTCGACAGACTTGCCAGGACGTGCCAACGGTTGGCAGAAACATGCCTGGCGCTTCGCACGATCATTATTCAACGCGGCGAGTCAGGCGATATAACCAGTGAGTCGGTTCGTGATGATCTGGATCCAGACTTAGCCGCCTACTACGCGACGATCCCAGGTTCCGTCGACCCCGAAACATCACACGACAAGCTAGATGTCTCTCATTTCCACTCACTTCTCCTGGAATATTTTGGAGATTCTCCTCCCAGAATATGTCTGGTCCCCACCAGTTCCGCGAACTTTCAAGGATGAGAGCATGGCCTGTTACACCCGACCATAACTCCTCGTGTTGGTGCGGCCTCTCCAGACAGAACCATCCAATGGAACAGACTGATTCTGTGGCGCCCAGAAATGTTGTTGGTTCGGTCGTTGGGACGCAGGCAGGCAGCGTCAAAGGAATGCTCACAATGTCAATCGGCACCATAGTCTCTGTATTAATATAGGTTGAATCTCTGTGTGACAATGGCTTGAATCTTCCAGCATCGCATCACACAACATTCGTCTCTATACCCATCATTTGTATATTCCACATTATATTCATCTCACTCTGTCACTATGCCTACTCGTATCCAACTTGAAGCCGCCGCCTCTGAAGTTATTTCGGTCCTTAAGGGGATAAGAGAGTTCTCCAATGCCCGGATTGCAGTCATTGGCGGGCTAGCTCTTTGGAAATATCTGCCCAATGGTAGAACAACTGAGGTATCTCATCTCAAGCACGTCTGTACTTTTCTTCAAGCTAATGTAGTCTTGGGACGTTGACTTCATTATCAACATCGATAGTGCTCCGCAGGGAGTCAAGCAGAGACTCTTGAGCCTTCCAAACTCTCCCTTCATTCAACAAGCCCAATTTTTCTACTACAAGCATGGGTCAACGTATATTCAAATTGACATCACTCCTCAATGGCAGGTCAGTTAACCCTCAAGAAATACGCCGACGGTTCTTCGTCATCGCGTTCTATCAAAAGATGGTAAAATGATTTTCTTCTAACATTGTGGCATCCAGTCTCCATATATGCCAACTGCTGCATTGGAAGTTAGGAACGTGCCAAAACGGCGTTATCCCGTACATCTCGCCCAGTGATCTTATTGTTTTCAAGATCAACTCTTGCGGGTTGCGAGCTCAAGCGGCCAAGAAGCGTACCGATGCCGCAGATGCTCAGGCGTTGCTGGAGTATGCGACTAAGTCTTCGGCTCTTAGTCTGACGAGTGCTCAGAGAGCTGTTGTGGAACCTTGCACCGCTGATGTTGTTACTCATGGAGCGAAGAAAGAAAAGTGGTGGAAGGAGCGCCTCGGTCTTTGAGTCCCTGTATTCGCTTTTGAGCCATAAATGTAAACATAGTTTCGTAGTTTCCGTAGGGGCATTTGGCTTTTGGTAAATTTTGCTGTCTTTTCCAGATTGATACGTGTTGGCATCAGAGTCTGCATCATCAGTTTGTCAAGAATTCGGTTGCAACATTAGTCAAGTCTGATAATGTCGAGTGAAAATTGACAACGTTGTTCCTAGAATAGTGTGCCTGCGGGAGAATGCTAGCCAGACAAGATCAAACACAAAAGTAATCAACCCTACATGTAATCTCGCGCCAAATGTTGTCAGCTATTGCAGGCAAGCTTCAACATACTTCATCACAATGATCACATGAATTTCCTTGGATTCAAACTCAATGTAACAAATCTTTGCGCTTCGTTTGGCTATAAACGAGTCTTGCATCGCCATTACCACTCTAGAAGCTTCTCCTCATCAAAGCCAGCTGCTTGAGAAAAGTAATATCCTCTTTGGTTTGTAACAAGTCTCAAAGGCTCAGCTCCTTCATCCCGTTCAGCAGTAAAATCGCAGTTGAAATGCGTGTGGCCAAACGCCCAAATCTTGACTTTGCCGCTCTTGAAGCATGCTTCATCCGACAGATCCGTCGCAAAGCCTGGCGTGATGGGGCTTGTAGCATGCCTCGGGTCCAGAGCACGGCTGTCTTTTGAAGGGCTCCAATGCGAGAAGATGATGATCCGCACATCGGACTGCTCGAATTCTGTGACCCGTGTGTTGAGCCAGGCCAGGTCCCGTTTGTGGGCGATATTATGCGGGTCAATGTCCCACTCTTCTATTTGAAAAAAGTCTTGTAGTCCCATGGAGACGTGGTCGCGGCTTTCAGGAGGAACGTGAGAGAAGAGGCTACATCCTAATACAACGATGTTCGTGTCGGGCACCTGGAAAATCGTTCTGTCCAGCAAGACGAATTGCCCTAGCGACGGGTTGGCACTGACGTCTTTCTCAAATGCGCGAAGAATCTCGAGTGTTTCGGGCCAGCTTGATCGATACGCTTCGTGATTTCCGGGGACGAACAGCACAACGCGGAATTGGCGAAGTTGTTGAGTCAGGAAGGTGAGACAGTCGTCCTTGTGAGCCGCAATATTCCCAATATCCCCCAGCAGAGCCAAGATTGGGGCTTTCGGAGTGATCTCGAAGACGTCATACGCCTTGGGCGACTCCAAGTGTAAGTCAGAGAGGATCTGAATCGCCATGATGGCGAGGTGCAAGGATGAAGAAGTTTGGGAATGCAAGTGCTGCCTGACGAGAGGAGTTGCGCTAAATTGTACCAACACATAGTGCTAAATTATTCGCTCGCTGATACGCACACTGTGCTTCCAACGTCGGCTCACAGAGTCTGGAGTGGATCAACTGTTCAACTGATATGCCCAGGGAATTCAGCGTTTATGAATTCCCGTCTTATATCTTATTGTAAGTGTTAGACCTTTTTACGAACCAAAACTACGAGACAATAAATCTGGGCCTATTCTGGGGACATTTTGTCTTGTAGCTATCATCATGTGAAATCCGAATTCTATTTTCCTCTTGGCTTTTGAAAGCGGCAGTTTCGATCCATTTTCACCTGGCAGAAACAGTTTCGGCGAGAGTTTCAGCTGAAGACTTGTATGATCTCGATTGTCTGCCAAGTTCCTGTCCGAGATTTGACAAAATCCCCATTCATGATCCCATGAACATACGCCTCACCAACGAGCAAAAAGCCATCGTCAGCGGCAGGACGAAGAATAAAAGGCACATCTGCACCAATTAAAACCCACACGGAGTCTTCTTGCCTCATTTCCAGAGGCCCAAGTCCAATATACCCTTTCATACATCTAAAAGGCCGTCTTCTGCGTAGTTTGACACTCGCAATATTGGCGTACTTCACGCCTTGGCAGATCATGCCGCTCCTAAGAGCTTGGTACGCTTGAAACGTCTTTTCACCAGCTCTCTCCGTTTCCTAGTTATACGCATATGCCCTATCTGCGATCGGGGTTCTCCACAGAGCCTCTTGCAAATCGGCCGGAGTAGTGTATATTGTCTCTCCTAACAAGACTTCGAGGCCTTCGATCCACGATGCGAGAGAAGCTACACGCGCCGAATCGTCTGCGAAATTGTCCGCTTCAACCAATGGTGACTCCACCTGTTCTACGTCGTCCATGCGCACGGCGTCTAGCGATATCCGTTTATTTGAGACAAAACGTCCCGATAAACTCTGCGAACAGTCTGCCGAAGTAGAGTACGCACTTCGTAGGTTCCCGCCCCGAACAACAAAGTCGGAGGTGATGCTCAAAGGCTGTGGTATGTATTGTGATGACCAGTCTGGCGCCCAAGACGGAGCACGTTGTACGTTCGCAGCTGCTGTTCCGTTTTCCTGGCATGTACCCGCAAACGAAAGGAGTCTCGGGCCGTAGAAGCTCAAGCAAGCTGTAGCAACTTCAACTTGCACCGTGTTCCAGTCTTTGCTGTAATCTGCAACAATCGACGGGCTCTTCTCTGGATCAATAAGTCCCAGAAGCGCAAAGACATAATCCCGTGGGTCCGAGGCTTGAAGCTGCTGCTGAGGGGTGGTTGCCATTCTGGACAACAAGGAAAACAACGTAATGAACGACGAGTTTGACCGCGTAAAAGCGACTGGAGTCACTATGTCCAGAGCCGTCGTGAGAAACAGGGCCAACGCAGAACTGTCTTGCCGCCCGACACCGGTGCCGACGATGTTGAGATAGTCTCGTAGGCCGCACAGGAGCCAAAAGCCCCAAAAGAACCTGCCCCGAACAATTTCTGCACCGCCGCAGCAAACAAATGTATCGGACGACAACACACGTTCCTGAATGACCCAGACACGCCGAAACCAGGGTCTGCCGAAAAGCGAGCTTATTGCCGCCAGTTTTGTCGAACCGCCTCGAGAGAGATCGGCCAGAATCCCATCGAGCATTTTCTGGGTCCTGATCACTCGGCGAGTGGATGGGGTGTCGGAAAATGGAAAATTGGTCCAGCTGGGGACGTGGTCGTGGAGCCTTACTCCTCTCCTCCCCAGCGTGTGCAGCGTCTCGATAGCAAGGTCGCTATGCTCGTCGGCCGGTCCCAGCCATATCATGGTTCTTGTCGCCGTGCTGAAGATGGCGCCCATCTGGGCGACTTGCTGCGTCCTCTCAGACTCGTTCTGCTGGACGATGCAGATAGCGTCGACCCATAGCGTCGGTCCTGGTTCTTCCTCGTTACCAAAGCTGCTCGCCACATGCCTCAGTGCTGACTCCAGATTCTCAGTGACTTGAACGTTTCGTCCGTCTAGGATGATGGCTCGAGTGGCTGTTGGGTCTCCCCAAGCATAGGAGAGTGCTATGTAGTTAGGATTAGTGTACAGACTGGCGTGCTTCAAGCGACAGCGGACCGGCGATTGTGTGTCGATCTTATGGAGAGCATCAACCTCAATGAGGCGGATCTCTTTCTCTAGTGGGCTCAGGGGCCGGTACGGAAATTTGCCAGCGGTCTGACTGTGAGCATAACCAGTCATTGCTCTCTGTTGAATTGTAGTCTGCGGTAGTATTATCAACCACACGTGTGAAAGAGAGGGGCTAATTCTGAATGATAATAATCCGATAGGCCAAGTTGTGCGTCAAATCACGGGACCAACAGGCCTGTCTAGAATGTTGGCATGCCAAAACCTCCACAATCACTTCTCAAGACCTCAACCAACAACACGAGACAGTGCATCCAAGCCAACCACGGCCGCACAGCGATGAAGATGCACAACATGAAAAACCCATGTCCTAAACCAGCTTAGCAACAGGCGCAGGTTTGTCACCCTCCGTAAAAGTCTCCTCCAGCCATGCCAGCATATCCTGACCAAACACAGCCGGCGTCTCAAGCAACGCCCAATGCCCACCCTCCCTCGTCACAGCCTTCAAACGAGGCAAAAGCCCAGCCTCGATACTCGGCTGGAGACCAGCAGGCCTGCACACGGCATCCTGCTCGCCGCCCCAGTACAACACCGGCACCTTCACCGCTACAGCGTCTTTGGCGATCAACTTGTCCGCCTCGTTCTGCACCTTGGAGACCATGGACTTGTACCAGCACTGCGGCGCCTCGAACCCGGGCTCCTTGCCGAGGCGCTCCATAAAGTCCGCCTTGTGCTCGGCCGTGGCGTACGGGAGCGTGGGCTGCGTCCTCCCCTCCGTCACCCACCTGCGCATGCCGCCGGGGCTGGTGAAGGTGTCACGCCAAGAGGCCGGGTCGCCGAATGCAGCGCAGTACACGGCCTCGAGGTTGCGGTTCATCAGGCCGGGCCCGTCGTCCGCGGCGAAGAGGTGCCAGTACTCAAAGAGGCCTGCGCCGAACACCTGGCGGGTGATGTTGTTGACCGTGTCGAGGTCGAAGTCGCCCGTCGGGGGCATGTATGTGACGTTTACCATTACCAGCGCCGAGACCCGGGCGGGGTAGAAGTTGTAGAAGCGCTGGGCGAGGGCGCTGCCCCAGTCGTGGCCCAGAGAGATGACCTTGTCGAGGTTCTCGGCGTCGAGGATCTCGACGATGTCGGCCGTTATGTGCTGCCAGCCGTACGCCTTCGGGTCGGTGGGCTTGGAAGAACCGCCATAGCCGAGGCAGTCGAGTGCGAGAACGCCGTAGCCGTGCGGGAGGAGATGATCGTTGATCAGGCCTGCCCAGAGTCTGGCTGAGTCTGGCCAGCCGTGGAAGAGGGCGAGGGTGGGCTTGGAATTCTGGGGAGGGGATCTGTAGTAGGTGTAGGTGAATCCCCGTGAGACCTGGAGGGTCTTTTGGGTGAGCTGTGAGAGATCCATGGCTGTTGGTCTGCTCCGATTCTTAGCACTTTTCCATAATAGAGATCTATAGTTGTGGGGGGAGACGTGACGGACTACTTATACAGTGAAGTGGAGTTTCCAAGCTACAGAGGTCCCATGCAAATAGCCGTCACGCCAAACCTCAAGTAAGTAACCTTGTCGTCTCGGACAAGATCTGCTTATGACCCGAAAGACACCAGCTAAGCTTTGTAAGATACGATTGAACCCAAGGTTTTGTCGGATCACTAATATCCATTCAGGGCCAAATAGTAAACAGCATCAATCAAGTTCGGGTTCTTCGGGGATCATGAAACTGCGACACGGCATTACTCAACTTCCTACCCGTTGTCTCGTGCGGGGTCGAAGAGGAAAGATTCTTATAGCTGATATTAATTGGCCAAAAACAATGGGTACGTCGGCGAAAATCAGAGGGGGATATTGAAAAAGAAGCAGGCCCTGGTCGAGTGCTGAGTCGATAGGAAGACGACAGCCAAGCATTGAGCGTAGAGGTGCATCATCGTGTTCCACCAGCCTGCTTCCCGCAGCTTGGCTGCAGCTAGTGAGGGGTGAGTTCCGACAAGAACCCATCAGAATGATGAGGTTTTGCGAAAATTGTTGATCAGGTAGGTAGTTGGACTTCCAACTGCCCTCGCGGGTTAGTTGTTTGCGGGTGAGAATGCTGATGTCGGAACTAACCCACCAGGCCACCGCCAACACCACCGAGGGATCCGTTGCCCATTAGTCAGGCGAAGTAACTACCTACTTACCAAAAGAAAGACACATGGTACCCAAAACAAGAGTTTTGAACAATGAAAGGTATTTCGACGAAGTGTTTTGTGATTGCATTATTTCATACTTGGTCCTAGTTGATGCGTTGTCTAGCTCTCTTCTCATAACCTTCAAACATGCAGGCCCTGAACCTCCTTGCAAAGAATCTCTACTGGGCGGAAAGTGCTTCTGAAGGGCGTGCGACCAATGGTCAAGGTTTTGAACATGACTGTCTCCTCCTCTGAGTACGACTTGCCATCAGCGTTAGCCGCCTCCTGCATCAACTGGGCCACGCTCTTGACCTCCTGAAACTCGCCCTTGATACCACTCTTCTCTTCGCCCCAGAGCTCGAAGAAGGGATAACCGTGCTGAGCATAGGTTTTGGCGTCGACAGGCGTGTTCGGAGCCGGCTGGCCGGTGAGCGCAGCGAACGACTCAATGTCCAGGATTGTGAGGTTCATCATCACCGAGGCCTCGATATCCCACACATCTGCAGGGTATGGATCGGCTTCGATTGATTGTGTGATCAGGCCTCCGGCTGCGAGACCCATTTCCTTGACCTTCAACGTCGGCGCGGGTGCGCTTTCAAGCGCCCTTGAATGTGACTTCGTCATTCCAAGCGGAGAAGCTGAACAGGACATCAAGGTCATAGGTCCCTGGCTTCCAAGACCGCCTTTCCTGCACCTCCCGAATCCTCCGCCTCGGTGAACTGGCTGGGCGTGAGTAACACTCAGAGTGAAGGATCGAGGCGGGAAATAGACATCGCCAAGCTTGACCTCATTGCCAAAGTCCATTCCGATCTCTCGGTGTCGTCTCGTCGCGTTGGTGTGCTTGGAGAGAGACTGGTCCTGGACGGCAATGTCGAATTCGTCCCGGATGCGTTCCTTGACATCTTCCCAAGTGCTCTCAGGGGTGAGACCCTTCTCGGCCAGGTTGAAGGTGCGAGTGATGACCTTCTGCTCCTTATTCTCATAGCGGACATCGAATTCGGTGGGTAGGTGCTTTTTGATGGGGATGATCTCGATCTGAATACCGCCAACCTTCTCCTCGCCCGTGACTTGGGCCTCGACAGAGAAGCCGTTGCCCTTGGGCTCCGCAACAAACTGCCGAATCTTGCCATCTTTGGAGGCAATTCCGTCGAGCCAATGCTGCTCAGGGACGACCATGTAGTCCTGGATTGATTTGCCGCTGCTGAGCATCTTCTGTCTCTTTTCCTTGGTCTTCTCGTTCTCCGTCATGGGGAAGCCGGAAACAGCGTTGACGCCGCCAACGTACATCTTGATGGCGAAGGGGGCATCGGCAGTGAAGCTAATCCACATGGCTTCGCGTTGGTACATGGGGAAAAAGATGCCGCCCTTCTCGAGGACGTCTTTGGGCATGCCGGGGTAGTCGCGAATTTTGAAAAGCGGGAACTGACCAAGGCCGGGAGGGAGGGAGTTGGTGTCTCTGTTGTCGGGCACGCGAATAGTGCGGTTCAGATTAATGTCGAGGGCATGCTCTTTCCCACCATGGCGAACGGAGATTCCAGTAGCAGGCTCATTTGGAGTTTGGCGGTTGAGGCTGACGGTCAGTTTTCTGCTGGGGTCAAAATCGGCGGTGTTTGCGCGGATCTCTGGCATCAGCTCGATGGCGTCGCCTGCATTATCGTGGGTGGTAGTGACCATTTTGAGTGTTGATTTGGCTATCAATCGGATATTACGGGGAGGGTGTGATGGTATTAGGAGTGGTGTGGTTGACGTTGTCGTTGTTGTGGTGGTGGTGGTGATGATGGTGTGTGATGTCCCCTTCGGATTGGATGGGAGAGAGCAGTCTTGTATTCTTATACCTCATGAACGAACACGACAGGGAGAAGGCCACCTTCCTCATCTGATGGCCCTTTCCCAAACATGAGTCATTCGGATCGCAATCCGCAAGCCATGAAGGCATGTAGTTGCCGTTGTTGCGAGCAAGCCTCATGGTGGCGTTGAATGGGAAAGGACAAAGGATGAATGTCATTGGTTGCTTCCAGGCGAAGACGGTTGCCTCCAGAAATACGCGCATTTGATCGGCCAGATGTGGCTGGCACTGCCCGATCTCAGGGCGTGTGCTGCAGGCACGGGCCGCAAATCACACTGGCGGCTCGAGTTTTGCGCAACGGCGTATTACTGCTCGTCGAAACTCGCTGCCGAATAACTTCATCGTCACTTCCATCTGGCTGCACGTCCCAGGCACCGCAAAGAGAAACTCGTCTTTTCTTTTGGAGCCGCCTGATAGTCTGCATTCAACTCCCGAACGCTTTGACGCTGTTTGCCTGCTAGGCGCTCCCTTTCTACCCAGCCGATGACAAAAACCACTGACGCGGTCTCTGCTCGGGCATCGCAAACGATGATGGCAGTCCAAGGCACCCAAACCCCTTGCCTACGTTTCCATCCTCAGAAACACGCAAGAAAGCAGCGGCTCTTAGGAAACCATATCGTCCTTGCATCTTGTGATGCAAACTCTGGGTACCCAGGCCGGACCACGTTTTTGATATCCGCACGCTTGCAGCATCAATCCTTGGACGACAAATCCAGCACCAACAGCAACCAAAGGCACCATCCTGTCTTGTCTGCAGTCAATTTAGCAGCTCAACCGCCAGCACTTCCTGCATCAGGAAACTGGCGGCCGCGCAATAAAGTTTCCTGTCAAGGGACTCTCCGCAGAGGCCCTGCCCCCTGCAGACCACCGTTTGAAGCCCCTATCCATCCTATCCATCCGCTGGCCAAGATCAGATCATCACCTCAGGTCGCTGCGGCCGCCCTGCCCCTGTGCCACTCAAACGCCGGACTGCTTGCTGCTCCGGTCGTCTCCCCCTCGGATCCATGTCCTCGGTACTGCTAGCTTGCAACACCAAGTCCTGATTGGCAGCTCACAAGACAGAACACCACGATAAGTGACAGACGCCAAACGGCGCGAATGCCGCCCATCAGGCCACCAAGAAATCCCCAACAACTTGCTGCGGGACCCTAGACGTTAGTGGGGGGTTCGCTCTGCAATTCCCATAGGGCGCATCGCTTGGCCGACCGAAACCAAAGCCCGTTGTCGCGGACTGGCGGATCACCGAAGAAACGACAAGTGACAGAATATTTGTCTTGGATTCGCTACTCCTACGCTTTCTGCTTCTTGTCGGCATGCTGCTCGGCGCTGCCCTCCTCGGCAGCCCGCTTGGCCGGCGTGATCTCGTCGCCCTTTGCCCTGGCCGCTCCGTCCTCATCGTCGTCCGCGTCGTCCGCCCGCGCCCCGTCGTCACTCTCAAACTCGTCCATCATCTCCGTGTCGTCGCCCTCAAATAGCTCCCGCCAGCTACCATCCCGCACCTTCTTGTCGTTTCCGTGAAGCCCGACCTGGTACGCCTGCTTCATTGCCCGGAGGCATATCGTCCTCCGTTCGTTGAAGTCGAACATGGGCTTCGGGTACACCCCCTCTTCCGCCTTCTCCCCACGCCCCGTCACCCGCACGCCGGCCTTCTTCTGATCCGGCAGCGGCGCCTTCCACGGCTCGTAAATGTACTTGGCGTCTAGCTTCTTGAGCTCCGGCACCCAACGCCGCACAAAGTCCCCGTGCTTATCCCACTTCTGGCCAAACGACACCGGGCTGTAGCACCGGAAGTACTGCGAGAAGAAAGCCGTGCAGCTCAGCCACTGCCAGTTGCCTGCGTTGGCGGCCGGCTCGTGGTCGATGAGCCACTCCTCAAAGACCTCGCAGCCGCGCTCCCAGTCGATGTAGCACCCCCCTCGAGTGAGGAAACAGGCCACAGAGTGCCGGCCCAAGTGATGAATCCATCCCTCCTCTCGCATCTGGCGCATCAGGGCATCGATCCACGGGAACCCAGTCAGTCCATACTTCCACCTCCTGAACCACTCGTCGGCCTGCTTGGAATCGACGTGGTACTCGCCAGTGATGAGCCCCGTCTTGGAGTCGACCTTGGACGGCAAGTGCCACGGGATGAATCGACAATAGGGATTGTTCGCCGTCTGGGTGAATTTATACCCCAACGCGGCGTGCGCCGCAAAGTACATATCGCGGAACAGCAGCTGGCCCAGCAGGTTCTCCGGTGTCTTCGCAGCTCCCTTATATTTATCAATCACCTCCTTCGCCCTCCAGTAGAATTCCCGCACAGACAGCGCCCCAAAGTGCAGGAACGGCGACAGCAGCGTCGTCGACTGCGGCTCAAATGCCGCCGGGCTCGTCTTGGGCTTCTCAAACGTGGCAGTGTACTTCTTATTCTTCAAGATCTCCTCGAGCATCGCAAGCGCCTTCGTCTCTCCGCCGCGGTGCGGCGTCGTCGCAGACGGGAAGCCAAGCTCCTCCATCGTCTCAATCGCAAAGTCACCGTCCGGCCCAGAGATCTTCTTATACGCGGAGTCTCCCTCCGTGCGCTGCTCCTTGTTAAAGTCCGGCTTCGTCTTGGGCGGCGTCGGCTCAAAGTCCACCGGCATCTCGCCGGGGTCCGGGAGCGCCTCCGGCGCCGGGATCGGCTTCGCGATGGGCCCGACCTTGGCGCCCGCCGCCTGCAGCTGCGCCATGGACATGGTCGGCTTGCCGCCGTGCTTCTCCACGACGGCGTCGCTGTCCCACAGCGTCCGCCCGCTCTTCACAATCACCGTGACCCCGGCCTTCTCGGCCGCCTTGATGACCACCTCGTCCCGCTCGCGCCCGTACGCGTCCGTGTCCTTCTCGAAGACCAGGTGCGTCACCTCCCACGCCTTGAACAGCTTCGGGAACAGCGTCTGCGGGCCCTCGCGGAGCACGAACAGCTTCGACTTGGGGTTGAGCTTGGTGATGCTCTCCGACAAGTCATTTTGACAATCCAGCCTGTCGCTTTGGTCAATGAAACACCCCTCGAATCCGGCTTTCTGGGTCTGACAAACAGGAACTGCCACCGGTTCAGGCCCCCTCGGGCGCGGTACACGTAGTGCGGGTCCCAGGTGAAGATGGGCCACAGCACGGCCGGGTCCAGGGAGAGGGCGGCCGCGAGGGCGGGTGAGTCGTGCAGCCGGAGGTCGGTCCGGAACCAGTAGATGACGCGCGGGCGGGAGGGCATCGTATGTTTGGGAGGGGGGTCCGCGGTTTGAGCGAATGACCCTGGGATTTCGGTGAATTGTGTAACATCAACAAAGCCGAGCAATTGGTGTCCCCAATTGACATTTGCATTTCCGAGTCACGGGCAAGGGAGCACATATTGTGAAGCTATGACCAACGACGCGAGAGCTACAGGGGAAGAAAAGTCAATGATGTCAATGACTCTCAGCCACGCGATTTCTCTCTCTCGAAAAAGAGGGGGGGCGTTTTCTTATTCAGATGAGAGGAGCCCATTTACTTTTTTCTGAACATTCCTCGGTTGCACCCGCTATCTGCCTTAACCCCGGGGGATACGTATCGCACCAAGTGGTGTAGTGAGTGCTGGGCCACAAGGCGCACCGGGCTTGCGGGAACGTTGATGTTTAGATTTTCTAAAACAAGATAACTCGGATCCGTCCTGGAAATTTCGCCATCTCCCGAAACTTTAGCGGCCATGTCGCGAACGGTTGTCCCATCCTCACCCCGCGATTCGGGCAGGGTGTGGCTGGCAGACGCACGCAAAGATCCATGAACCCTGATTCAGACGGTCTCTCGGGTAATGGGGACATACAGAGGGGGTTAAGTTTCTGCGGGCTGCAGATCCAGGGAGATTGAACAGGTCCGCGGGTCCCAGATAGAATGCGGTCCTTCTTCTTCAGAAATGTGCCTGATCATCATCCATTCTCGCGCAGGCGCGCGTGGTCATACGCATTGGATGCCTCCGTAGAGCCAAGCCGATCGCAAAGCCGAGTCCGGTGTGTGCTGTCTCGGCCCGTGTCGCCATCACACGTAGAGCGGTCGAGCCGAGGAATGCGAGCGATGTTGCAACGATGGCCCCGGTGGCCGGATACAGATCGTCGACGCCAACGTGGTGGCGATGGGCCGATGTCTAAGTCAAGCGTCTCTCTCTCCTACGGACCTCACGTGTTTTGGGAATTGCAGTCTCATGCCGCCATCGACGTGTCGGTCGACTCCTCCCTTGTTTGCGGCTCAAGATAGCCCAACCCCAACCAAGCCCTCCAGGCCATCACATGTCCGCGGCACCTTCCTGCGCGTAATCAGCAGTCAATGCACGACGATACTCGGTGTCCGGAAAAAGGCGGCGCCCCGACTTCAATTGGTCTACTTCTGGTACCTAGCGAGGTAGCAGCAGATCTGTGCCTGATGGAAGAGTACGAAAGACGGTTCTATACATGATGACCCTCTTCTTGCCGACGATGCAAACCAGGCCTCATACACTACCAAAGTAAAGCTCAGACTTCCTTTTCTCCATGATCATGACCCATAAAGTCCCACTGAGGGTATAATAGATACGAAGAAAGGGTGTATAGAATCGACAGATGAAAATGGACAAATGGGAAACCAAAATAACAAATCCGCGGCCCAGACCCCAGTCCGGTCTTCCCTTTGAAGACTCATGGTGCGAGGGCCAACTTGCCCGATGTGGTCGTCTCCAAGTATGCCACTGCTGTGAAGTGTAGTGCACGCTCAATTCTTATATGCCCGTGTCGCAGCAAACAGCCCGAGTCGGACGGGCATACCCAAAATGAAGAGTATCGTCGCCGCGTATTTGCCGATCTGAGCCGTCTCCAAACCAACGCCAATTGTGATATGCCTCTTTTCATCTCCTTCGATTGTCGGTAGATCTTCGACGATTCTCTGTTGACACGTCTCGGTTACTTCACCGCTGCTTCTTTGACTTTTTGCGCTTGTTTGACGACCCGCCCTCTTCGTCGTCTTCATCGCTGTCATCTTGACGACGTGACTTACCACCGGACTTTTCGTTGCCCTTCTTGATAGAAATCAGGCAACCCTGCTCCTTCAAACGCTTCGTGAGCGGTGTGCTGGCTTGCATGCCCGGAAAATCCTTGGCGTTGTAGACTTGGAACACGTCGCTCATGATGGTGGACTTGATGGGAGCCTTCGGGGAGCGATGCATCGGGTCGACGACGATCAACGCAAACCTCAGACGAAAGGGGCCAGGTGTGCGGACCGACATGTCAGGGAAACAGAAAAAGCAGCCCTCTTCGCCGTTCTCGTCTTGTCCCACAAAAGGGGAGGATACCAAGGATCCCATGAGCCGCTTTCCTGGTCGTACGTAGTCCGAGGGCATGTCGGTTTCGTCTTTTACTCCATCCTTGCACCAAATACTGCAGTGAACGACGTAAGCCGGGTGGTGGATCCTCTGGTACATTTCGTCTGGCGTAAGGTCGGGGTTGTTGATCCTGAGCTGGACGATGGGCGGCGGGTCGATGACTCTGCGATCCCTCTCGCCATATCCGCAACATCTCGCCGCCACTGGTTGTTGTCGGAAGTAGATCGCATACTCGTTCTTGGGCGGTGCCGGCTTCTGGTCGATTATGTGTTGCACAGCCTGTGATGCTCCGCCGCTAAGGAGATGTTCAATTTTGACCGATCTGTCCGGCTGACTAGTAGCGCTCCACGGCGCTCCAGCCGGCGGCACAGTAGATCCAGAGCGTACCGCTGGTATCCTCAAGCTCTGAGGGGTGAATGGGATAGCAACCTTTCCGTCATAGTTGCTGTTGGGGACACGCGGGGCTTCAGGCATTTGCGGAGGCAAGTTTCTCGACATCATGTGCTGCTCTCTTGCTTCCTGGTACGGATCAAAATCCCCGGCAGGCGGCGGCGGTGCCCTTTGCGGCTCTCTTGGAGGTTCATAACTGGAGTACTGAGGCTGCGGCATAGGTGCTCGGTACGGGTCGTTACTAAGTGCAGGTGGTGCGTAGTGCTGGTACTGCGGTGGTGCTTGGTGATAAGTTGGCGATGGGGGCTGCTGGTACTCATGGTGGTGGTGATACTCGGGGCGATGATACGGCGGTTGATGTTCTTGTGGCATCGGTCTCGGATGCGAGCCTGACATGCCGTTCATCAGGCCGGATGGAGGGGGCAGACGGGATGATGCAGTCTCGTAGTACGCATCCCCAGCAGGCCTAGGCGGTCCGTAAGTTGGGGATGGTGCCCACGAGGTGTTCCTTTGAGCCATGTCGTCCGGTTGAGCCCTGTAGTCGTAAGGTTGGTGTTGAGGTGAGGGTTCGGCGTGATTGTAGGCCATGGTGAAGAGATATCTGCAGAGCAGTTGAGATGATGACGGGCTGCTGCTTCGAGCACGGCGGGCGGTTAGCAAAGCAGCCTATTCCGGCGCGAGGCCACAATCCACGTTCTCGGCTCGAGATGTGGCGGCCGGAGCAGACTCACTGGGTGGAGATGGTCTCAGATCCGTCCTCAGCCCTTGGCTAAGTTCAGTGTGGGAAACGAGACGTTCAGCTCCGGATGCGCTCAGTGTGATCGGCGCGTGGAAAAGATGCGAGTTGGAAATTAGATTGGCGAATGTGAGTGGATGGCAGAAAAAAAAACGGCGTCAGATGGTGGATGCAGGTCAGACCACGACCATGGGAGCTCCTGGCGGAGGACAAAGATGAGGAGGAGCTAGTCGGTTGTCGGGAGCAGAGGATAATGTTGGATGCTGAAGAAGAATAGACGAGTGGGCGGTAGCCAGGAGGGGCTCTTTTGTGGTCGTGTCTTGCCCGAAGCACCTTTTCCTTGGCGTACGAACGTGGACAAACGTCGCTGGAACCCAAGGCTTCGTAGCAAAAGAGAGACAATTCGTTCCCTTTCTTATTTCCCTGTCGAGACCACCGGTCGAGGCGCGCAATTGAGACACGGTCTTCTAGTCGTTATCGGCGACGGGGAGTGCGGGCATCTACATGTACGAGTGATTGGGGCGTCTGGCAAGACGAGAGTCAAGCGACCGGGTAGACCCTTGCAGAGAGTTTGGGCCTAGCACACTCGGTCTGACGGCAGCACCCAGGAACCGGGAGAAGCGATCAGCGGAGAGAGGATCGATTCGTTTGGGCGATACCAAATGGCGTTGCTGATGGTAACGTATTGCATGCGGGACGGGCGAATGTCGGGTGGTGCAGCAGCACAGCGGCAGAACGTATGTACGTGGGTGAGATGGGCGAGTAAGCGCAATAGGGAGCGTCTTTGGTTTTTTTTCTTCTTTCCTTTCCTGGGCTGGTCGGAACAGGGCAGGGCAAGTTAAATCGTGTTGGCCGGAACGGTTAGGCGGACGGCGTTAGATAGGTTTGAAACGTATGGTGGGCGTGGACAAAAGAGAGGACGTGCAATTGCTGATGTGCGCCGGTGAGGCAGAGCGAGGCGAGGTTGAAGGTGAGGGCGGTGGGAAGTAGAGAGCGAAAGAAGAGGGCACGGCGGCGGGTGTTGCGCGGTGGGTGGTTGATGGCATGTATGTATATGAAGCCGCGGGCAACTAGACAGGGTCCGAAACGCAATTCCCAAAGTCGATTTGCAGCGCCGGGTTCTGGACGAATTGAGTGATTGGCGGAGGGCTGGGTCGCTGGATGGGTAGGATGGCTTAGGCCGAGTGGGAAGGGTGCGTATGTATGGAGGAGGCCCCTTGTTTGCTAGGCGAAGGGCCGGTACTGTGTGTATGGTATTGGTATTGTATTTGGTGTGAGATGCAGCGATTTGCGGTCCTGTTGTTCCCGTCTGAAGCCCGTCTGCGCGCTTGTCGTATGGCAAGCGTGTAGACGAGTTGGACGGACACGAGGAGATGGGCGCTGATGGTGTTGAAGGGATGGTCGAGGAAGATTATGAAGACGAGAGGAAGAGGAAAAAGAACGTGGGTGAGAATGGGGATGAGGGCCAGTGTCCAGTGAGTTGAAGTGCAGCCAGCAGGTCCAGTCCAGTGTGCAGGTCCAACCAGCATCAGCACGCGGCAGTGTTGGCTTGTCTTGTCTTGTCGAGAAGAGACCAGGATCGGGCCCCACGTCGGACAATGTGATGGATGGGGAGAGAAATTGGAGCCTTGGAGCTTTTGGGACTTGCGTGGGCTTGGACTTGGACGAGGGACGCGAAAGCCGACCGAGGAAGACGATGTGAGGGTAATGCTTAAGCGAGGATGGGAGGAGGCGAGAACGACGACAGGACCGATGGCAGTAC